GACAATGGAGCTTTCTTAGAGGGTAGAGGAAAATATCGGAGGGAGAAGGCCAGCAAGAGCAACATTATGGAAGGGGCGTACGGGCTATGACCCTGGCACTAAGAACCCAGATGATATCGTTTCAGAGGGAAGCACCGAAGGAGATGGGCATTGGAGTTTGCCCAGAAGACAACTTCAAGCACCTTACAGAAATAGAGGTGTAGGATAGGAGGGCAAAAGAGTTATATTTTAGATGTGATGATAGATATACATCGGGACATAGATGTTGTGAAACACCTTAAGTAAAAGTAGTCAACCTCTAAAACATCGAGACACCTTTTGGTGTAATTGTCAAAATTTTTATTTAAGAAACTCTGCAGTTAAGCATGCTCATCTCAGAGCTATTCTGGGATGGGTGACCTACCGTAAAGTTACATCAATAGGACAAAACCATGAGACTCTTAGGCCAAAACAGATAATATCTCGATAGTTAAGAATTTGTGCTATTAAAATTGGTATCAGAGCAAAACAACAGTCGGAAGATGAGAACTAAGTGCCATACAAGACAAATTTCTATATCATGGGAGCCACCTCTTAAACTCTGTATGAGACAAAGTGCTACATAACGGAGCCATCACTTGAACTTGTTGGGGCCATCTCTAGAATCATATCTTTTTGGTGGATGATTCTGGGATAATTAAAGATGATGACGAGAACATCAGTTAATTAAGTAGGGGAGATTATGAAATCCCATAAGTAAAAGAATTTAATCTCTTAAAAATCGAGGCATCTTTTGGTGTAATGGTCGAAATTTCATTTAAGAAAATTCGCAGTTAAGCATGCTCATCCCGAAGCAATTCTGGGATGTGTGAGCTATTGGGAGTAACACCAACGGGACAAAACTGCGAGCCTCTTAGTCCAAATCGGGTAATATCTTGATAGTTAAGAATTTGGATTGTTATATATGTAAGGATCAAGCTATTCAGGTTCTTATCCTCTATGATGACGATGAAGCTAAGGAGGGAGATGGGAGTGAGGCATTTGTGGAGGGGGGAAAATTGTATTTAAAAATGGAAGATGTATCCTTGAACTCAGTGGTGGGATTCACTTCTAATCACACCATTAAAATGAGAGGAGAAATAGTAGATAGGGAGGTAGTGGTGTTGATTGACAATGGGGCTACCTATAACTACATCACTAACTAGGTCGTCGACTAATTGGGGGTTAAACTGGTGCACACATGATGCTATGGTTTGATGAAGGGTACTTGGAAGACGGAGATAGACATAGGAGTATGTAGGGGGTGGTTTTTAACCATACAGGGAGTCTATGTGATGGAGGACTTTCTCCAATTGGCGTTAGGAAGTATTGGTATCATCTTGGGAATGAAATAACTACAGAAGTTGGAAAAGATCAAGATTGATTGACAAACGTTAACAATGGAGTTCAAGCTTGAAGGGAGGAAAGTTGTTATTATAGGGGATCCTAGCCTGTCAAAAATTATGATTTCACCCAAAACTATGGTCAAGGCGATACAAGTAGCAGGGTTGGACTACTTGGTGGAGCTACAGAGCATGGAGGAGGTCTGAGATTCGGGGTGGGGCTAGGTGGTCCCCCCTTAGAAACAAGGTGTTCCTCAGTTATTTTCCATCATTCCACCTTAAGAACAAAGTGCATTTTTTTTGGGTTGAGGGAAAGGGAGCATTGATATGACAGGAGCGAGAACGGGAGCCATATAGAGGGGGCTAATTTGGAGGGGATTAATTAAGAATTTTTTTTTAATTGAAGAAGGCAAATTTGGAGGGGATTAATTAAAAACTATTTCCTAATTGAAGAGGACATATTTGAAGGCTGATTTGGAGGGAATTAATTATGAAATATTTCCTAATTGAAGAGGCCTGATTTGAGAGAAAAATAATTAAGGAAATATGGCAGATTTGGGAGGGAATTTGGGGAGGATTGTTTGGGTATTTATTATTTATTGTTTGATTTTAAGTAGATGATTTTCCTGGGGTAAGGGCTATGTGTTGTTTGCTGAATTTAGATTGTTCTTAGGGTGTTTGGACTCTAGCCAGTGGTTAGAGATTTGGGAGAGATGGATCTTCCTCTCCAATTGAATATCTATTATATCTTGTTTGTTATCTTTCATATTTTCAAAAATAAAAAAGATATGTGGTGTGTTATTCTTCCCAAATTCTCTTGTGGTTTGTTGATTTGGTTGAAAGTTCTTCTACTTCATATCTTTTTTCTTCCAATCTTTGTTCTTCTTTCTTGTCGGGATTTTTCTCTCTCTTCATTTTCTTGATTCTTTGACTTCCCTTCTAAGGAGTTAATAATCATGTATGATGAAAGTCATATTAAGGGAGAGTTCTGGGGGCTATGAGCCTTATATTGCTTAAAAGGGAGAAACTATCTAAAGTTGTCCCAAATTGGGAAAACCTTTTTAAAAGAAAAAGGAAAGATTCATCCATCATCTTGTGGACTTTCCTATAGAGCCAAAGAACCCAAAGTTTGTACTTTGGTATGAAGTGGATGATCATGGCATGGTCGTATAATATCATTATGCTTGAAATTAGTGGTTTATATGTATTTTTCTCTATCTCAAATAAAATCTGGGATGCTGTCAATAAATGTCCTTAGAGATGAAGGATGTTGCTCACATCTACAAGATCAAAACTAATATTTTAATAATCAAATAAGATAATCTTCATGTTATTGAGTACTTTAATATCTCAAGATTAAATGCGATGTTGATGCAGGAATTGTCAAGTAATTTGTAGAAAGCAAAAGGATATTTGAGCTTCTTATGAAACTCAATAATGGATTTTACCAAGTTAATTAGTAAAGTATCCTTAAGGCTAATTGACTTCACAAGTCCTATAAACTATTATGTTAAAATTATTCCCACAAATAATGTCCTCTCAAAATTTTGCCAAAAAATATTTCGGTGCATTGCTTATGCCTACATCCACAAACTGCACAAAGGCAACTTTTATTCTAGAGCTCTCAAATGTGTCTTTCTTAGATATTCCTCCACTCAAGAAGGGTACAAGTGTTATCATCCAACCATAAGGACATTCTTCACTTTCTTAGATTTTCAAACAAATTCATTTTTAGGAAGAGAACTCTCACCTGAAAGAAAAGTTTGATGAAACAACTATTTTTTATATTGACATTCCTACATCACAAACATCAAATAGATTTAGATATAATACCCTCTTCAAGTTTATGTAAGAATAAATAAGTTCAATCAAAATCTCCATTAAGCTCAAGATTCAGATTCATTATCAGGTAATAATGATTAACTTAGCTCTATGTTTTTCCTTTATATCTTATTCCTATCATATATACTTTTTAAAATTTTTCTATTACCTATATGAAGTCGTTCTAATAAACATCAGCTCTAATTCTATTACAATTCCACAAACCCTAAAGTCACTTGAAAATAAGAATTAGAAGGGTGTCAGAAGAGAAGAGATGAATATTTTCAAAAAAAAAAAAACAAAACAAAAAAGGGAGACGATTAAACTTCCTAAAAAGAAGGAAATGATAGAATGCATGTAGATTTTTTCTATAAACTTCAGAGTAGATAAAAGTTTCAAACTGATCGATGGTCAATATTGATCAACCACTTGAATTGTGCAAATTGTGAAAGGCCTTGTATGGTTTTAAAACATTTTCAGAGAGCATGATTTGATGGATTCATAAAAGCTATGAATGAAAATGTATACAAACAAAGCTAATGCAATCATACTCTCTTCATAAAATACTCCATTAATCATAAAATCTCAATTATCATTATATATATTGAGAATATAATTATCACAAGTGATGCCAATTAGGAAAAATTAGTTTTTTTTGGAATGAATATGCTGAAAATTTTGAGATCAAAGAGTTAGCAAACTTAAATATTTTTTGAGAATAGAAATTACTCTATCAAAATAAGGAATATATATTTTTTATTTATAAAATTATATCTTTGATCTACTGAAAGAAAAAAAAAAAAGATTGATTACAAAAGCTTGAATGGCGTTGCTGCAGAGCTCCAACAGAACGGTAAAAATTGCGTTATCTGCTTGTGGGTTAACAGTGGGACGCTAATATTGGCATTGCACTGTTCATCCCCGCTATTTTTCTGTGTCTACCTAACTTGCCGAAGAAACACGCGAAAAGAAGAAAGAAGGTTACATTCATAAATTTGGAGTTCGAATGGATGAATCACGGCATTTTTTTTTAGTTTCATGCCATTTTGAAGTGAAAAATGAGATTTTCGGTTGGAAATGGTCTAAGGGATGTGGATAAAGCAGAGATAGTATCGCGAATTGCATTCCTCACAAAGGGTTATCTGTAATCAACTGGGAGTAGAAAGCAAATATTGCATTCTTTCCTAATGAAGTTTTTTTATTTTATTTTATTTAGCTTATTATCTAAGTTCTCTATAGAATAAATAATAAGCGAAGAAGTCTTTTCTATTGCAGATTTAGACATTAAGATTTGAGGGCATCAAATATTAGCACATCATTTAATTTTTATGGTAGTGGTAGTTTTTTATTGATGATTGTGAAAATATTTACATATCTAATACATACATTTTTATATTTATTTATATAATTTTTCAATTTCTAAATCATATCAAAATATATGTTTGAGAATTTTTATTTATTTTAAAATAAAATTAATACTAATAATATATTTGGTACTATTTAAAAATTAGAATATTTAATAAATATATCTAAAAATTTAAATATGAAATCTATAAATAAATAAAAATTTAAAGGATTTAATCTATAATTTTTAATATTGATTATTTAAGTAAAATTTACTTGTTATTACTTATTTTTTAATGTACTTCATGTATATAAATATTATAAAAAATTATGTGAAAAATATGTAAAACAAACCTTAAAAAGAAAATAGTCGTGCCAATGTTGGATAAATTTATAACTAAATACTGTTACAGATTTTTTTATTTAAATCTCCCTTTAAAAAAAAAATTTAAAACATGGGCAAAGTTTGGTTTAAACTTTAAACTACTGCGACAGATCTGCCGTATAAACGGGCGACAGATCTGCCAATGTTGGCTATCTTCCTCTTCGCCCTTCTTCGCTTCATTTGCTTCTGTCAGTTTCGAGCTCCAGATCTGCCGTATAGAGTGAAGTTTTCGTGGAGAGGTAAGTTTTTTTTTTTTTTAAACCTTGATAGTTTATTTTGCGAGGATTTAGAGGTTAGGTTTTTTTTTAATTTTTTTTTTTGGTGTTTGTGAAGCTTCGAACCTAATTATACCCACATAGGTTGATTTAATTTTTATTTTTTGAGTTGAACACATTTATATTTTTGTCATGTTAGTGATATTTAGGTAGGGCATGAATCTATGATCTCGTAATGAAGCGCTTAAATTTATAATCATCATTTTTTAAAACCGAGATGAGCTACGTCAATAAAGTTATTGCCTTCGTAAGACAGTATGATTGTAGCCGAAAGTAATGAAGTAGTTTAATTTTGCATTAGCCTTTATTTGCAAAATATGATCCGAACTATTTCATTTTACACTGTTATACGACAATCGTTTGAGATATAATTAGTCTATATTAATTTCAATATTTTTATATTCGTGATGATATAATTTAATTTATTTGAATTATTCTTAAGTTTTTTTTTTTTAAAGTTAATTAGATATTAATAAATACAAAATTGATGATTATTAAGTTTTAACTTGGTTATATTATTCAGGGGTTCTAGGGGGCCATAATGAATGGACAACTAGCATTGTTTATGCTCATGTTTGATGGTAAATTAAGTGTGGATGAGAAATTTGTGCCGACATATACTGGGGGTAAAAATCGACCATTGCGAGTGTCTATAAATACAAAATTTGAGCAACTTAAGTTTAGAGTGCTTAAAGCACTGAAGATTGATGCATCCAGGTATACAGTCAACATAGTTTGTCGTTTTCCGGTTGGGAATGATCTCATTGCAACGCATGTAGATGATGATGAAGTATGTGATATTGTTATATCTCAAGCTATTGGAGTATGTCTTATTCTATATGTTGAAGTAGAAGAGAAAGGTTTGGAAAACAATACAAATGAAAATCTGACATCCCAATTTCGAGAATCATTTAGTTTGGATGATGAGGTGGAGATGCATGGTGGTGGTCCCATGCACTTGGTAGAGGAACACTTCCATGTTCGGTAAGTTGCACATTACAAGTTATTTTAATTAGCTTAGTCTTCTTAGATTGTGTATTGGCTTTTAACTAATCAATGGGAGTCTGATGCAGACATGGCCAAAATCAACGTGGACAAAATGCTCCAAGTAGTTCAGCACAACCATCTTGGGCAAACATGTCGGGAGCTGCTGGGTGTAGAGTTATCATGCCGGTTGTCGATGAAGGTTATGAGGCAATGGACAGTGGATCAGGAAAGCAGGATTGTGATAGTACTGATGAATTAACGCCGAATCATAATGAGGTGAATGTAGGCGATCATGATGACATTTGTGATCTTATACAAAATTATTGTTGTGTGACTGCAAATACTGAAATTTCAACTTATAATAAATTAGACAATGTTATATATTTTTAATTGAAGATTCAATTACTTAGTTATTAGTTGTTTGTTGAAAGTTTATAGTTCAGTCAAGTATTGTGCTTGAACAAGGACATCATCTTTTGGACTATTTGGATCAAGATAGTTGGAAAAGTTCTCACTTGAGTAATAAACTTGAACAACTGAGGAAAATAAAAAAGATTGCAAAGAAGATACACCGGGAAAGAAGATCAAAGAATTACGTGGTTTTGTGAGATCCATTAATGGTCATGATTGCACAAAGAGATAAACATCCTCTAATTCAAACACGAGATAATATAATGTTTTCACACCCAAAATATTTACACTGTGTTACTAGCTTTTCTTCTGTATTATTAATGTTTCCTTCTCTCTTGATTTCAGGTAAAACAAAAACTCAAGATGATTTCAAAGCTTTAATTAGCATGGAAACATAAAATAGCTGATAAAAAAAAGTTCTTTATCATATATAATAATGTCATTATTATTTTATAAATTCCTTTTACTTCACTGTTTCTAAACAATATGCCTTTACAGTTAAACCACTCAACTTGAACTTATAGTTGATCAAACGTCCTTCAAAATCACCAAATTGTCGGTCATCAAATGCTGGCAAAACTTGAGATAGAGACTACTGAATTGTAAAATAATAGGCGATAATAAATGTTGTATGGTACAATATTAGATCATACTGTGCAATCGTGATGAAGGAAAAAAAAAAAACTCCAATGCACGTTTAGGATCACCTTTCTTTTTGTTATTGATTTTGTTTTCTTTTTGAAAAAAAAAATGTTTTTTGCTGTATTTTTTAAAAACAAATAAAATTATTTTTAAAAGCACTTAAATTTTAAGCGCTTTTTATAAAAATCATCTGTTTTGTAACAAATTTAGTTACTACCTATGATGTTTATGGTAGTTTGCTTTCACTTCTTTGGGATCCTTTTTTTGAGGAAAACGTTTGAGAAGAAAAGTAGGCTGTAGCATTTTCAAATGATGTAAGAAAATGTTCAAAAATTGCTGATGTTCATGCTTGTTCTAGAATGCTCAGTTTGAAAGTACCTTCATGTTATAATGTTAATCTCATGTTGTCAGTGCTTATTGGATGTATAGGCTTCTCTTTCCAAATCGTCACTGAACACCAAGGTTGGACAATCATCATCTCTCTGTCCCATTCGGAGAAGTAGATCTCCACAATCAGTTGAAAGTCAACGAATGCAAACTTCTCCTAAAAAGGCTATTGGCGCCAGTCCCGAAAAACGTCCTGGAAGTGAATCTGAGGAAGGCCGTTTTGACATCTCTATACCTGCAAATGAAGGGCCGGTGATATTAAAAAAATCTCTTCTTGTATTAAAAAGAGAGAAAAGAAAGGAACTTGAACGTCCTGTGGTGCAATATTTAAGACCAGGAATGGTTTTGCTGAAGAAATTTTTAGGCCACATGGATCAGGTTAATGTTGTTCCTTTGCTCACTATATTAAAGTTTATGTTGTGTAGAGTAGTATCAAAGAGATAAATTAGAAAAGGTTCACGCATTGAAAGAAAACGTTATTTATCAATAACTTCTACTAGGTTCATCCATAGAATGCTTAATAACTAGGTGTTATGGATACTACTGAAATAACGTTAGTGTATTTGAAAATTTTGCCATGTTTTTAGGACTCTAAAACATTATTGGTTGTTACTATTTACTATTTTGCTACTCCTTGATTCCCAAATTTCAGGTAAAAATTGTGAAGAAATGCCGTGAGCTCGGTATTGGTTCTGGTGGTTTTTATAGGCCGGGATACAGGGATGGGGGAAAGCTACATCTGCAAATGATGTGCCTTGGCAAGGACTGGAGTCCTGAATCACGATCTTATGATAAATCTCGTTCTTTTGATGGTGCTGTGCCTCCTGAAATCCCAGAAGAATTCAGAAAACTTGTGGATCAAGCACTAAATGATTCTCATAAATATACAAAAAATGTGGAAGAAATTCCAAATATGTCACCAGATATATGTATAGTCAATTTCTACAGCTATAGCGGAAGACTTGGTCTACATCAGGTAAGATTGTTCAGGTTTTTCTTTGTTTTATATATATATATATATATCATTATATCATGTGGGCTCTTAATGATCTAATTTGATTTTGTTTATTAACTTAGGACAGCTTTAAATGCTGTAGTTTATTAATACACAATCTCCTTCATTTAAATTCCAACGGTGTTCTGTTAACCTTTTTCCTATACCTTTTAAAAACTTATACTCAAAAGTAAACAGTAGACTGGTAGATCCACTACCTAGAGCAAACGTGTAGTTAGAGTTTTCAATTATGCATGATATGATAAAATGTACTTGGGCTTTTGAAAAGTTGCAATGAAGGTTAAATATTCTTCAAGTGATCACATATTTGGGCTTTTCATTTTTATTTATTTTATTTTTGGCTAATTTTATTTTAAAAGAAAATATACACAGTGTGTTTTGTAATGTAGTTTTGAGTAAAATTTAGTGATGTATTGGTTAGTGCAGGGGCTTCACTGTAGAAATTGGGGCGGAAATTTTAATTGATTCCTTCTACCAAAACATCATGGATGCTTTTGACCACTATGAAACTGAGAGAAGGTGAAAATATGACTGACAATTTTAGTTCTAGGGCTCTTTTAAGTAAAAAGGGCCAATTCTCAAAGTGGACGTTTGCGTCTTAGGGAGTTAGGGGTTTTATTGCAAACAATGCATCCAGGTGTTTAGCAATCCTTTATGGAAAATGGAAAGTTTAGGTTATGTTTGAAAACAAGTGCTGGTGATTGACCACAAGTGCTGGTGCCCTTTGTATGGTAAAGAAGAGAGAGGACTTGCATCAACACTCGCCTTGCTATAGTGGAATTGTCTTGAGTAATTGCTTTTGATGCATTTTATCTAGGTAAAGCTAGAAGGGAAGGGAGACGGAAAAGAAAAAGGTGACTGTGTCTTGTCTCCCATTTTTCATTTATTCATGTTGAGTGTTATCTGAAATGTTAAAGATATTCTTTGCACATCATTTTAAACAACTTCTATCCATATACAAACCTCCTAATCTATTTTTTAGTCACCTTATCTATTGAATGTCGTGGGACTCGTTAATCAACCAAATTTTGATAAAAATCCGTGAGCACGTGGATTACGAGTTGTAACTTTTGAATTGATTCTCTTATGGCCCTTTGATTGGAATCGATATGCCTCATCTTACTCTTCTACCTTCAGGTCTTACTTTGGAAAAACAATTTCCTCTTTCTATAAATAATTTTTATTCATTTTCATTATAAGATTTTTAGAGAAGTTTATATAAACTGACTCACTTTGTACGTAATCAAACAATAAAATTCGAAGTAGTTCTATTTTTTTGACTTTTCTACATTGTATTAGAGCAAGGCTAGAGTTTTCCCATCTTGTGGGGCCTAGGGGGGTTAATATTCACTATATAAGGAGGAGAAATTATGAGAAAAATAATTAGGAAAGCTTATTTAGGGAAAGATGATTAATTTTAATTAGATTTGAGAGGAAATTATGAATATTTTATTAAGGGAAAGGGCCAATCATAAACCGTCTGAATCTTCTGGGGTTCTACTTAATTGCCTGCACTGCTCACTACATGCCCTAGAAATGAAATGCTCCTTAGCCATAACTCACACTTTGAGAACTTAGCATATAATTGATGTTGCCTTAGAATCTCCAGAGCAATCCTCAAGTGTGTTGCATGCTTCTCCTCATATTTGGAATAAATTAGAATATCGTCTATAAAGACGATCACAAACTGGTCCAACTACTTCCTGAAAATCCTGCTCATCAAATCCATGAAGACTGTCGGGGCATTAGTCACTCTGAATGGCTTGACTAAAAACTCATAATGTTCGTACCTCGTACTAGAAGCAGTCTTCATAACATCCTCTGCCCTTACCTTCAACTGATGATAACTAGATCGTAGATCGATCTTAGAACATCCAACCAACTGATCAAACAAATCGTCAATTCTAGGCAAATGATACTTATTTTTTATAGTGACTTTATTCAATTCCTTATAATCAATACACATGCGCATCATACGATTCATATCATCCTTTTTCTTCACAAACAGAACATGTGCTCCCCACGAAGACACATTATGGCATATGAATCCCCTGTCAACTAGCTCCTGAAGCTGAATCTTCAACTCCTGAAGCTCGTTAGGTGCCATTTTATACGGAGCTTTAGAGATCAGAGCAATACACAAAAAAAAAATGATACAGAACTCTATCTCTCTGTCTGGCGGTAAAGTCACTAATTTCTCAAGGAAGACATTTGGAAACTCCCAAACTATAAGGACACTACTCATAGAATCAAAAGAGAGTCACATCTTTGACATATGCTAAAATTACTAGGCTACCTTTCCTACAAAGTCTATTTACTTTTAGAGCAAAAAAAAAAAAAAAAAAGAGATAACACCTTTGATTCCCTGAAATATGAAGCTCTCACCATTCTGATACAAAGTCACTTTCTTCTTTAAGCAATCAATCTGAGCCACATATCGACTCATCCAATTCATACCCAAAATGTCATCAAATGCAAAAATAGTTAGCAAAATCAAATCAGATCTCCAAACTCTATCATAAAATTCAAAAAAATAAACTCTACTAGCTAACATTCCATCTCCCGTAGGCAAAATCACAGACAAAGAAACATGTAATAATACAGAAGACAAACCGAGAGAATCAAAATACTGCTTAGACATAAAAGTGCTCGGCCCACCCCACGTCTCCCGGTCTTCCCTTGCCCTGCCATAACCCAAACCCCCTTCAAATTCCCCTCTTATTCCTTCAAAATCAGCACCTCAGCGACCATAATATCTCTCCCGACATTCCCAATCAGCACCCCTATGCTCTGCCCCTTCATATGCATGCCTTCCCCATACCTACCTCCTCTATCCTTCCTCTGGAAAGGCTCCAGATAGGGTTTCCTTCTTTCTCCCTCCACGATTTCCACCTCATCTTCCTCCGTACGAATTTTAGAATTCGTGTTTTTTCCTTCCTCCCCTTTTGCCACGGAAGCCGCCGTTTGGTTGTGGATTTTCAACATTTTCTTCATCATGTTCCGGAGATTGGCTACTTGTCCTTTCATAGAGGAAATCCTTTCCTCCACCGTTGTCTTGATTTTGTTCATCTCCCTTTCAAGCTTTTCTTCTAGCGCATCAACTTTCTTGGCTGCCATCTCGATCCGGAAGTTCATAAATCCAAAAATTTCGGATTTGAATTACAAAAACAGCAACTTCATCCATTCCCGACCAAAAATCAGCCGCTAAAATTTGTCAAAATCAGGCCATGAACGGTCCCAAGACTTGCTTTGATACCAATTTCATAGGAAACCCTTGTAGATCTCAAGTATTTCCTATCAATATAAGAAAAACAATGAGAATTCTCCTAAAAAATCTTTACAAAACCAGGAAAACAGTAGAAATTTATATTATTTGATAAAATAGAAACACAAAATAGCAAGATACAATTAATCATCTATTCGAGAGGAGGATCATTCTCTCCCAATCTCTAGACGCCACTAGAGCCTAAAAGAAATAAAAGAGATCTCAAATTTCAGCCAAATTCAAGATGCCTAACCCTAGGAAAACAAACAATTTAATGCATACAAATCAAAAGGAAATCCCTAAACAGTCCATACATTCAATCTCCCTCCTAAACTTCTATCAAAATCCTTCCTAAATGGCTCTGTAGCGAGCGAGCGGTCGAATCCCACGTACCGAAGGTGGACGGGTTCCGCCTCATGTCTTTGTGAGCCGGTCTCGTATGGACCGGCTAGACCGGTCTAACAATGCACTAGGGTGAAAGCAACATAACTACATACGCCACTCAAACCTCTGGGAGGCTGACCTCTTGATACCAGACCAACATCCCAGCTACCAGAATCCTCAGTATATGGTCGATGTGATACTGCCCTTGTCTTACCCACAGTCGGCTGCATAATGCCTTTGAAATCAGAACGTCTATCGAAACGACCTTGTGGACACTTAGCAATTATATCTCCAAATTGACCACAACAAAAATACCTCCTTGATGCTCTATAACATTAAACACTATGCCTTCTAACACACTGCTGACATAATAGGGCCTCACTCACTGAACCCCCAGAACTAACAACACTACCTCTATCTGATCAAAAAGAAATTGCTCTTGGCTGCCCCCTTCTTTTGAACTTAACAAGTCCAAACCTGCTCTTCTTCTCAGAATGACTACTACTAGTTGTCTCACCGCCAAATCTCTTCTTGCTTGCATTCCATCGTTGTTGCATTGCTACCAGATCAATCTCTTTCCTCTTGGACCTCTCGACCAACTGAGCAAAGTCTGTGATATCATGTGCCAACAGTGGCTGCCTCAAACCCTCCAGAAGTCGGTAACACTTCTCCTTAGAAGTGCCAGTTGACGGTGGAGCGTACCTGGAGAGAGAGTAGTAAACTCTGCTTCATACTGCATCACTGACATGCTTCCCTGAATCAACTTCAGAAAAGAGCTCTGTAAATATCTCCTAGCAGATGGAGGTACAAATCATGTTCTGAATGTCTCAACAAACTCATCCCAAGTAATCAGGGTATTTTTATGACCCTGAAACTTCTCTCACTTTTGGCCCAACCACCAACGCTCTACCTCTCCATCAAATAAAAGTACAACTAATGCAACTCTCCTCTAAGAAAGACAATTCATCCCATATAGAGTCTTCTCTATCCTCATTAGTCAATCCTCAGCTGCTCTAAGCTCAATAATATTTAAAAGTCTAGGAAGTTATAATCTCATAAAATTCTGTAAATATCTGTCAATGTCATCAGATCGGGACCAACAACCCGCTTGTGAGCCTCACTAACCAGTTATGCTACTATGCCTTCAATTTGTAAAATCGCCTCAAAATTAATCACAAGAGTTGTGCCCTAAACCTGAGCTGCCTGACTAGAACTCTAACCATTATACATATCTTGATTTGGCTGAGGTGGATTAGCCATCTCAAAACACAGCTAAATGCAACAT